TGAGTTGATTTCCAAGTTAATATCTATCCGAGATTATGGGTCACACAAAAACTATATCGATATCTCATCTACATCTGGACCCACAGCATATAAACTCTGTTGGCTTTGGCATTAGAGAGTCTGGTGAGTTATTAGCTATAAGACAAACATTCCACAGCTTATCTGTGTTTGCTTCAGTAGTGTGAAGTTACGTCATTATGTCTGACAGACATAACAGACAGCAACACAAAATCACACATCTATTTTAAGATTTACCTTTGGACTATAACAGCCCCTAAAGTACTGAAGCCTTTCAATTTAATTAAATCAATATTTAGCAGCTAAATGTAGAAATCTGATAACATGAAAGGAGCTGTTTGAACATTCAATACACACTACAATTTGAAAAGAAGTCTGGTCAGTGCCTTAGCAGTAGGTGCTAAAGGTTGAGTTGACACAAACAAATGGTTTAACAAAACTTTAAGTTGAGAGTGTGTAACAACAATATACACAAAGAGTTTGCAGTTGCTCCAGGAAAAGTGCACCAGTCTATTTACACAGCGCTGCTGATGAGAGTGGAAAGTGTAAATAAAATCAGTAAAGTTGCCCTTAAACCAAAACAATGAGCTAAAAGACACTAAAACGATTGATAGAGCTGAGGTGAACTGCAGAGTCAGGCGATAATCTTCTGTGGGTACACAGAGTACATTACACATAGTATTTAAATCCATTGGTTTTTTTGTAAAAATATTGATTAGAGCAGCTGTAACTATTGAAGATTTGAATACACATCAGCCTTCCAAGCCTGTTGGAGAAACTACGGTGGCCAGCGAAACTTGGGAAAAACACCAAAGTCTGTTCTGGGCTATTGAAGAAACATGGCGGTTTCAACATGGCAGCCTTTGTGTAAAAGGACACGCTCCCTCTGTAGCTGAAAACAGCTCATTAAGGTAATGAAAACACAACAATTCCTATTTTCAGGTGATTATATACAAATAAAAACATACTTGTGATGATATCCATTTTTTGCCAATATAAACAAAAATGTTTCACACTGCATCTTAAAGGCTTCACCACATCTTCATCATCCCTTCCTCCTGCTCCATAACTTTACAGGTTTCTCTGATGATCTAAATTGAGGATCTATTTCAATGCTAACAGACATAAATAAGGTGATCCATGACATGCTGCATGCCTCTCTTATGAGCATGCACGCACACATACACACACACTCACACTCACACACATACACACAAAGATAGCGGAAGCCTGTGAGGGCAGTATGATGGGTGCAGCGGTTAGACTTGCTGACAATACCACAAGTCGTACAAACCTGTCCCAGCACATACATGAGTTATAGCCTTGACAGAAGAAGCTGAGTATGAGTGTGGGAATGTTGACCTGGAGTAGAACTGGGCCTAAGTACCTGCTCCTCTATCTAAATGAGGAAGTCTGCAGGATATGAAGCTGCTGAGGTTATAAGGTGGTCTTCATCAGACTAGCTTCAACTGGTTTCATGCAACCTGCCAGCTGAACTGTTGCCTTGGGTCACAGAGGGAGTAGACAATATCATATAAAAAACCTCAGGGAAAACTATTTTAACCACACTATCAAAAAAGGTGGGTCATATTCGGTTGAATGCCAATCAGCAGCTTTTGCTAGCTATTAAAGAGGTGTGGAAATCAGGATGAAACAACCAGCAGAGCTCTGGAGAGCCACAAACTGCAGGTAAATCTGTCAGAAAGGTATTTAGATGATCAAAGTTAACAGTCTAACTATGATAACATACGCCAAAAACCCAGAAACTGCAAAGACAGAGAGAGGCAAAGACTGGAGTCAATCAAGTCAATCCAGAAAAGTCCACTTCTCAAACCAAATCTAAATCTCTAAAAGATTCAGATTTCTTGTCTAAGTCAAGTCAAGCTGTGAAGCTCTTGCAAGTCTTTCAGGCCTCTTAGTGCTGACCATTAAAATGACACAACATTCGGATATTGTCCTTCAAATATTTGGTAGTTAGTTCACTTTTTTTATTTAGGGAAGTCTCTTTAATTTAGATAGAGATGTCTTTTACAAGCGAGAACAAAAGGTCATTCCAGTCACATTAATTAAAACATACATAAGTTTTAGTAAAACATCAGTAAGTAGAACCCAACCGTCCCGCCGAGGAGTTAGTGTCTCTAACATGAGTTTGTTTTGCAGTTTAATCCAGTGTTGAGGTACCTGAAACCAGTCTTCCCTAGTTTATTCTTTTTTTTATTCTTCCATGATTTTACGGCATAAAACCCAGAGACTGGGATGTTTTGCTATCAAGTCTAAAGTCATCTCGAGGCTTCAGGGAGTCAAGTCTCAAGTAAGTGAATTCTGAGATAAGTCAAGTCCATCTCCATCTCCAGAATCTCCATTTCTCTGGTTTAAAATCGAGTCCAAGTCTCGAGTCTACAGCTCTGGACAGACACATACAGTAGGGAAGTACTGCTAAATGGCATGCAAGTTAATACGGCCCACAGGAGTTCAAAGTTTAAATTATTTCATTTATGTCATCCACTCGATTCATTCTGACAGACTCTGTGGTTGGAGGCCAAGATTTGCCAGATTTAATTACACTTTATTGCCACTGCACATTATACTTACTGTTAACACTTGTAAACGCTTGTGTTTACTGCTATTGTGTCTGGATGATATTTCTTTGTTACTGGTGGATGATCTACTGCTTTAATGTGCCTCTTTTTGGGGTCATGCTGCAAACTAAATCCCCCAAAATCATTGTTCCCATACATATGAGAGGAAACCAGTAGAAATCACCCACTCTTCCATTAAGGACTGTCTGTGCAACTCTACTGTAATAACATGGTTATGCATGTGTCTTAATTGTCTTAATTAACTTTAACCCACCTATGCACTTGATGTCAAAGCCCTGTGGTGGTTTCAGGGTTCGTCTGGTCCATCCGTTCCTGAGGACCTGAAGATGGACCTCTTTCCCCTGGATCAGCAGCACACTCTCATCAATCCAGCCGAGGAAGAAGATCTCGGACAGAGCGTGTGTCAGCGCCTTGTTCCAGAAATGCTGCATGTTTACGGCTTTGAAATTGGCGAATACCTCGTAGCCGGTGTGATGCTGTAACTTCAGGGAGAGCGCGGCCGGTGATGATGATGATGATGATAATGATGATGATGATGGGGGGTCCTCTTTATCTCCTGCGCAAACCTGCGACAGCACCAGAGCCAGAGAGTGCGGAGCTACCTGGAGGAACTTCTCCATTCCTGCTTCAGGCAAAGTTAACTTTTTTTTGGTTCCACATGAGAAATCAAAAGAAAACTACTGTTTTCTTTACTGTGGGGCATTGTTTAGAGCACGCAATGTTACGTGTCTACACCCCCCCCCAAAAAAAAAAACGGCCCGATAATCCTAACTGGTTTAGGCATGTTGAAGAAATGGGAGAGCAGCGTAAAAAGAAAACGCGCGGAGCTGATCCAGAGTCTGCAGCACGACGCTACTAATGCAGGTGCTCCATCTAAGAGCAGGGAAATGTGCAACCTGACACGGCGCGCAATGAAGCCAACTAACGCCAACTGTCAGAGAGTATTAGGGCCTATTTTCAGCGACGAAAGAGGCGAGGACTTGTGCTGCGTTCAGGTGCTACTCGTAAACTGCTACTTTCGACTTTGGAAGTCCACCAAAAGTCATACTTTTTCCTTGACATTGTTTAGCAATCTTATGGTGAGATATAACGATGAAAACAGTAAATTGAATTTTAAACTCAAAACACAAAAAGGAAATTTAGGAAATGGTTGGACAACACAATAATATGACAAGAAATGTGGCTGGAAAAAAACACCTGCAGGATTCAATACAATATCAACGCAACTTTAACTTTATTGTCTAAGGGAAATTTGTCTTGTTGCAAGGCAACACAGAACAGACTCAGGCTTACACATAAAGCACAATAATGATAAAATAATGATAGAATACATATATAAAATATTATAAAAACATGTACTAAAACTAACCAATGACACAATGATATAGGAAACCATCAGCTGCCTCATCCTGAGACTATTGTTGGTTTGTTGGTGTTGGTTTCTATTAGATGTTGCCTCTATTGAAAGGTGTTGATATTATTTTGTCCACCTCATTCACATATATGGAGGAACAAACAGGGTATCATCTTATTATATAATGTAATCCAATGTAACACCTTAAAATAAGTTTCACTAAGGTGCCTTAAAATGTTAGTATTTATAACAGGACTGCTGTACTGGATTGCACTCTAATGTAAAGGGGTGTTTGCTGGTTATTTATTGGTTTATATACAGATATATTCTTTTTTGTCTCATTAGCACCTCCAACTGGAACAACTCACAATTAATCTGCAGTTTACAGATCAACCCCATATTGACTGACACTTTATTGTAGTTAGTCAGTCTACAGAAAACTAATTGGCAACTATTTTGATCACCAATTAATCATTTATCAAATCTTTAATAAAAGTAAGTATTCTATATTTTTGCAAGTATAGAATCTGAGAGTTATTTTTTGGTCTTACATTTTAGTAAATTTGAAATTTGGGAATTTTGGAGAGTTGGTTGGACAAAAGAAGACAAAACACCTTAGGCTCTAACATTTGAAAGAATATTGAAATGAATGTTGTGGTGGAATATTAAGGTGCAATTTGTTAACTCAGTTTCTGATTTAGAGGTATATATTGTTGGCGTATGTAGGTGTTGTGTAAGTTTCCGCTGTGAGTCTTTAAACTTAGTACATCCAACAGGTAATAAGTGGCCTGTTGTTTGTGAAAGCTAGTTTAGGTAGGTAAAGTGCGTCTGGGCTGGCAGCGAAGGAATCTGAGGCCCAGTTTTGTTTGGCGCAGGGCCTCGGGATCTGGTGGCCCAGTTCTTCTCACCTCCAGGCATGCCAAATCTGGAGTAATCCTGCCTGTTCACACTCAAGAAAGTGTACACAAGTAGACTCTTTACTGTGTTTGTAGACAATTGTATGACATATGAACAAAACTACAACACTAAACAATGAAAAGTGGTTTTTTATTTATCAGGCAGAACATTACACCAACCTCACAGTATAGCTGCTTACAAAAAAGTGATACCACAAAAAAGCCCAAAAGACATTCATAGCAACATGTTGTATATTGATAAGAGTTAAAACTGGTCAAGTAACAGTGATTTCAGCCTATTTGCTGCAAGTACTGAAATATCTACTCAAAATGACCAGGACCTGGATCATTACATAAACAAATTGTGCTTCTTTTTTTTTTTTGCTGTAAGTCTCTAAAAGCTGATGTTTACATATAAAGGTTTGTCTCACAGTTACACAACAACCCATTGGAAATGGTGTTTTAAGGAGTGTACAATTAAATCAAAGTGAAAAGGCATATATTTTGCCATTTTGTCCGTTATAAAACCGCATGAAATAAATAGCCAAATATGAAATGTAAGTTGTTCAGATGACTTCCTCATAAAATGTGCCTCAAATAACAGCAAGTGTGCTGGCTTTACTCATGCATGCTACAAAGCCTTGCCCCCACTAATTGAGAGACAACAGTTGATTATCCACATTTAGAAAAAGAAAAAAACTTAAAAAGTAAAAATGAATTCTTAGCTTAGTGGATGCTCCTGAATTTGCTACACAACATTATCCTTTTATGTCTCTATGGAGTGTTAATGCTTCATACAACTCATCAGGTGCTAATCCAATGAATGATCATTGTCACTACACTGAAAAAAAAAAAACAAGAATGTAAAAAGAAAAAAAGCAGGCACAGAAATTAAACACATGATCCTTGCATAACAGACTATCATCTTGCTTAGACAGTCGAGTTAAAATAAACAGCTGACTCATAAAAAAACATTGATGCTGGAGTGCAGGAGGCCTGTCTATGGTTTCATGATTAAACACATATAGAAGGTCAAATTTCCTATCAAACTGGTTCCAAATATTATTCCCTGAAATGTATAGTGTAAACAGGCATGTCCTGGTAGCAAACCAGTGAGCATGCAATTACATTTTATCTTAAAGTCATGATATTTGTTTTTGTTTAAAAAGAGAATACAAAATAGTTTCCCTGTAGGGATACACATTTTAATGCCTAATATTTCAGAACTGTACTCCCCCACTAAAGGAACCCTAAAATGCCAAGCTTGTGAAATGTGAGATTAGCATCACATCTACTCTCCCAGAAATATGTAAGCTGAGGTTTCAAGAGTTCAGTCTGAAAGTGTAAACTAAATTAACTGACAAACACCACCTCATACGCATCCTCAAGCCTTTCTTTTGCAGACGAAGGCCGGCGAGGCTTCTACGGCAGAGACGACATCAAGGAGAAAAATACATCTCCTTGGTCAGCATTGACACAATACATGGGATTTGTTTCTTTGCATTGAAGCCTGGTGAATTTGAGATTGACTCAAACTCTACTGCCACCTTGTGGTTCACTCGTGTCATGATGTGCTGGAGCTCCAATTCTTTTCCATATTTGCTGATCAGATCACACAGTGATTGGATAAACCAGGACCCGGTCGTAGTGTTCCTCCATGAGTAGTAGCCTGTACACAGAGGAGTGATAGAGTAAAGGGTGTGTCGATACAACAGATAAAAAAAGGGAACAAGGAGTATACAAAACAACCTGTGTTTGTGTGTGTAAGTATTAACCTGGGGCTGTGGAGAAAGCATACAGGAAGTCAGCCTCCACAGGGATCTTAGTAGTGCCATCTTCTCCACTGTCTGTTTCAATGCCTGGATCCAAATCAGTGCCTCTGCAAGCCTAATCAATATGCACACAAACAAAACAGGACCTGGTTGCAGGTTTAGACGATTCAGCAAAGTAAGTTAGTGCAGTAGGGGAAAAAAAACCTCTTATGATACCTGAATGAAGAACAGTTTGGGCTTCCCCACCAGTGATATACAGTGATTGCCACGAAAAAGTGACGTTAGGTACTTAAGCTCTACTGAGCCGTCCGTACCAAAGAACACACCCTCATCTCCATGACTCAACAGAACACAGATGAATGAGGCGTTGCAGCTGTGATCTTCCTTTGACACTGAAACAAACATATATATACACTTTAATATATTTTTGTACAAGATGATATAAAGACAGCAGGTGAAAAGAGTAGATAGTTTGTGTGTGTGTGTGTGTACACAAACTTACCAGAAATTAAAACCTGTTTCATCTGCTCGACTGTCTGGTCATTGTAAATCTTCGTCTTATAACCCAACTTTGTAAACACTTTCATCGCGTTGCCAGCATCCACATCTGTACCATTTCTCTGATTCATGCCTTTAAAAACAAAGCAAAGAAATGTGTTCTGGTTACTTGAAGAACAACAAAAACTTCCCAAAATAATTTACGTAACCAACAGCTCTTTCTTCCTCAAAACTAAATTCAACCAATAGCGCATACAGTAGGCAGTTTGATAAACAAGCACATACTTATTTATTTCCCAATAATTTTAAAGGTGATTTTATTAGACCTCTTCTAGTGACTGACAGTGCTTGATTGAAATCTACCTCTCTCTCCTGGCGGGAGAAATTACACTGTTAATCATTGGTTGCACTCCATTTGGTTGTGGTGTTGTGCTTTGTGTAGCAGCAAGGCCAGGGAAACCTGGTAAACTGGAGTGCAAGTGGCATATGAGGCAGTAGGTGTGACGTTGAATCTCTGTCAGCTGATAATCAAACAGCAGCGGGTGTTATTCTTTTCATCTTTTTTTTAGCTCGTAAGTTTTTAAACATTTGGATTCAGTAACGGCTAGCCATGTGAAAAACGTTTTCATTAGTTCGTATTATTTATATTTTATATTTATATTTGGTTTATGTGCTGCACAGAGCCATGGATTTGCATAAAGCAGCATCTGATGTTTTGTGTGCCGAATTCAAATGAAAACCTCGTCCAACATGCACAAAGCGGCACTGTGACGATGGGATTTTGGAGTGCACCCATTCTTATTATACACGACGTCTGGTTACCTCACCTCATATCTTCAACCTAATCAGCCAGAAAAGCGAACACACCTACACAGGTTTAAATAATAAAATGAATGATGGCTGAATTCCTATTTTAAGTTTGCTCCATCCTATGCGTGTTTAGTGCATCTTGTTGGTCTGAGTCTTGGTCTGACTCTTACTCATAGCCTAAGATTGCTACATTTTAAATATAAACTGACCTCACCACCAACCCACTATCTGTCTGGAGCCTTTGGGTTCTGCATTGAACGTCCCTTTAGACTGACAGAGTACATTAACTGTCACCACCTGCTCCGTTTCTAGAAGTGAGGCGTAAACCACTAGTAGTCTGCTAGCTTTTACATGCAGTTTTTTTTTTTTTTGAAACATGCGTGGGAGTCTAAGTGTGAAATACCTTCTTGGTTGAACAGCTGGAAACAAATGAACGTGGCAGTACAAGCTTAACTACTGCTGATGTTTACCCCACTCATATGATGCTCATGGGACATTATGGTGTTTGTAGACCAAGCAGTCATGTGTACTCAGTTAGTCCTGCTAGACAGGTTTGTCAAACAAAAGTCTGAGAAAATGAGACCATCACACAGTAACTCTGATGCTCTATAAGAGAGACTGAAGCTTTATTCCCTTGCATTGATATCCAAGGTCTAAAAAAAAAAAAAAAGACTCAAATAATAAATAATAATAGAAGAGACTTTTTTTCAAGCTTATATTGCACAATGACCATAAAGGTCAACTCAAGGTCGCATCAGAGAAACAAGCGCTGGATAAACATTCCCCTATAGATCCTTCAGGGGCAGACACTTTCATGCTTCACAAAAAGATTATGAACGCCCTGAGGACACACACGACAATACCTCCAATAGCTATCTTTCTCTATCCCGCCACTCTAAGGCAAGACGACCAGAACATTCTCACACAAAGAGTTCTCCACAGCCTACATCAAACTTGTAAGAGGAACTAATCAAACAATGGGTACTACACACGTGATGGATCACAAATCACACTACATGTCATGTGGGTACTTGAACTTCCTGAGGAGCAGCTGACAGTTTTCTGTAATTGTCTTGTGTTATCAAATGCATTGATGTATATACACACAAGGTTAGTTCAAGTGCATGATTCATTCTCTCTAAAGACAACACTGGACTGCCACAAAGCTAATTTGAACATCTAATTAACTAGCACAGGGAGGCAGTTTAAGGGTATCCAGAGCAACATGTTTAAATTGGGTCCCGTAGCACACTTATCATCTCACGAAGGTGTGGATGTGGGATGATTGACCTGCTTCGTTGTACTCTGGGATGGTGTTAGTGAGAAGCAACGCCAGCTTCTGTTCTCTCAGACCAAGAAGTTTCTGTTAAGACTTTTTAGTTCACACAACTCTGAGCAACACCAGCGCCTGCACAGAAGTGGCATCACCTCACAATTATAGGCAGTTTCACAAGCGATATCCCAGCAGGGAGTCCTCTCCTCCAGCTTTCTGACAGGAACGTACTCGCACCAAGTTAATCTACCATAACTGAGGGATCAACTGAGAGAAGCTTGTGTAAATGAACTGGGAACTGGACACGCTACTACAGAGTTACCACAGACACACCTACAGCCAGTTAACCTCTAACTCCTTATTAAAGTTTTATAAGTGTACATTTGAGCCAGCTGACCTTGTATTTCAAAACCCTTCCTTAAGACCTAATGTGACATTTTGGGTGCTGGAAAATAACCCAGAATCCAACATGGAGAGAGAATTAACACACAAAAGAGGGACAACAAGTAAGCATCTTCATTACCATGTAACTACTACTATAAATTATTTTTATATTCATATTTTAGTGTATGAAAAGTAACAAATATAACAACGTTTTTTTTTTTGAGTTCTTACAATGTTAATGTTAATGTTACCACCAGGTTATTCCTTCCTTTTATTAACATTATTAACTAGTAATGATCTGCTCTACACTTTCAGCACTAAGTAAAACACGAGAGAAACAAATGAATAAACAACCAAAACAAACACCTGTTCTCCTGTCGAAGTTCTTGTTGTTGATGATGATGCACTGGCCCATGCTGGGGTAGTTCAGGCTGTATCTGAAGCTGCGGGAGTTGGGCTTGGCGTCCACGTCCATGGGGCCAGACGCAGAAAAAGACGCCTCCGACCTGAGAGACGACAAAACCAAACAACATTTTATTTAAATGCAAGAGAAGAACACAATGTACGGAATGCACGACAAAAGATGGGGCTTTTTTTTTTTTTTTTAATGTTAGATGGAGGAGGAAGCATTTAGTGTACAGGCCCGCGTTAGTGCTGCATATTGGACATTATTTAAATAACTCAATGCTAATACAGGGTTACAGAACTAGAAACAACAGCTTTATGTATGTTAACAGCTAAAATGTGACATTATATTCTAGTAACAGGTGTAGTTTCGGATAAAGGACGGAGGTGGAACTGCTTCTTCATCACTGTCTGAACGAGAAGCTGCGGCGGATAACAATCGCTAACAAGCTAACAAACAGACAAACAAGAGACTCACTCTTGTCCGTCGCCTCTTCTTGCGTCCGTGGAGTCTTCTCCGGGTCCGTTTAGCGACATATTTGTTGATTAGGCACACAGCTTACACACACTGTACGATCAAACAGCAAACCCGGCAGGGAACTGTAGCTAAGGCGTGTTCGGAAAGAGGACGTGAAGTTAGCTGAGCTGCGCTGAGCTGCTAACGTTAGTAAACAAAGATGCTGATGTCATGCGCAGATGCACTTGTTTTTCACTCCCACGCCTACCGTGGAAAAAAAAAAAAAGGGGGGGGGGAGGGCGGTCACGACACAGCTTGCTTTGGTTTATATGGATGTATTTTAGATAAATATTGACCACACTCAAACAAGGATATTATTTTAAATGTTTATATTGTTATTATTAAATGAACTAAAATAAACTTTTGTCTTATCACTCCACCCCCAGGACCCACACTGAGTTATAAATGCTGCTTCGAGGCTGCTTCTTATTATACATGTATATACAACTGTGGGCAATCTGAAGTTGTTTTTGTTGGCCTTAAGGTTGCTAAATTTAAATATAATACATATTCAAATTTCATAAAATTACCCTGGAAAAAGGCCCACTGCGTTAAAGTTTCAATTTCAGACTAACTCCCCCAGGTCCCTAAAAAAAACCCCTAAAACTCCCAGAGAAAATACAGCCCTGCTTCTGAAATTACTGTTCTGTATGAGATTTTGATGCATATAATAACACAATTATTTTTTTCTTTTGGAGATTTCTCTCTAGAGATAAACTCGACTTGATCTCCTCCTGCAGTCACACAATGTAATCACCAGTTTCTGTCTATATGTTGTTTCACAATGATGTTGTACTATTCGCAGAGTTGGGCCGATTATTATAGTTTTTGCTCTCACAAAACTAAATACTAACTAATCTGAAGCCTACATTTAGCCAGATTGTCTCACAAGTAGAGCTGTGTTTCCATGGTAACCAGAGGTAGACTGTAACTAAGTATGTTTACTTAAGTATTTTTATATTTTTACTTTTCTTAAGTATTTCCATTTGATGCTACTTTATACTTCTACTTTACTACAATCCTCATGGGGATGTTTACAACTACTATTTACTATTCACTACATATATCAGTTATTAGGTTCAAATTAGAATTTGTCTTAAACATACAATCAGCTGATGATACATTTTTATAGATTAAAGAGTCAGACAGCTACATTAAAATACTTACATATTAAATATTAAATGATCTATTAATACAGTATAATACTCTGTTAAGTTTACCATTTTACTTTTTAACTTGAGTACATTTTTCTAATAGTATTCTCTATTTTACTTGTAATATGGTATTTTTACATGGTGGTATTGCTGATTTTACTTATGTAAAGGATCTGAATACTTCCAAAACGGATGGTGACAACTTACAGTAAAAGAAGACATAATCTTAATACATAACTGTGGTCCCATCAAAATACCTTTTTATAGGTCACAGTAGGAAAAGCACAGATGTATATAATAAATTAATAATGGCTGAATTCTATTGAAATGCTTCAGGTCAAGGCTGCTGGTTTACTTGTAATTAGCAATGCGAATGTAGTAGTAGTAGTCTCATAGTATAGCCTCAATAAATGACACCACACAGATGCTGTAGTACATTTCTACCTAGACATCAGTACAAATATTTATCAGCACACACAGTACAGTAGGACTTTAAAATTAAATTAATATTTGAGTTTATATATATATATATATATTTGAACTCATTGAATTTTACAGTTGGTTGTTGCTTTAATGTCTTATTTATGTGGCACCCGGGTGAGTATCGCTAAAGTGTTTTGTTAATTAATGTGGTTAACAGTATTTATATCCTTAATATAACTAGTATAAGCAATTTTTTCACATTTTTCTTCTGAAAAAAATCAAAAACAACAAACATATGCACTTCATCTCCATTCAAACTTTAATATTGTCAACCCCTAACACAATCCAGCTAAAAAAAAAAAAACTGCACCGAAAGGACAGAAAAGGTGGAAAATATGCTCAGAGCCGTGAGTCAATACATATGTATATTTCAACAAATGGAAATATCTTTGCAATTACTGGACATAGGAAAACTCACAAAATGACAAACTCTCCAGTAGCCAACATCAAAAGTTGACCATTTGTAAGTCAAACCACAAAGGGCATGAAAGATAATGGATGTACTTTGCATGAGTGCAAGGACACCAGTCAATTTGTACGAATTGTGGGATCTTGTGGCATTATGTATAGTGACAGTGTCCAAAGTGCAGGGCAAAAATCATAGCTGGAAACAATGAAAGGAGTGAAAAAGGTTGAATGGAATAATGGGGCTATGTAAATAGAGAGAGCAGTGGCTGAAAATCAACATTATAATTATATATGTTGAAAAAGACAGGGCAGACAAACCTGTGAACTCATTCTGTCATTATAGAGATGTAGTGTGGCATCTAGCTGTACATTCCTCACACACACACACACACACACACACGATGTATGTAGCAATAGTAGGGAATTGTTCAGAACTTCATATAATTTAAATAAAGCTATCCGAGCCAGTAGAGTGACTCGTGGTAACATAGTACACTCAGCTGAGACAATGAAATACATCCAGTTGTGAGATGGGGAAAAAAAAAGGAAAAGTGCATCACCACCATTAGATTCTCTATCAATATAACCAGTTAATACCACAATTACTTTACTATTTAATATATTTACACAGAAATATTTGCAACATTATGTTTTGTGATCTTCATTTTCAGTGTTCTCATTTTAAGTACACTTGAATATAAAATGAACTTTAGATTTTCATCCACCACACCGCAGTCCTTCCACTCATATGACGAATAACAAAAGAGACAAATACAATGACAGAATTCAGTTTTTGCAGGTTTAGTTCTCGCTTCATACATTTCATTTTGTGCCACATGTATATGCACTGAGGCACTCTTATTGCTGTTTGTTAATAATCTACACTCGCAACACACAGACTAAAATAACCTAAATCAAGATTAAAGCTATGATCAATACGTTTGAAGTAAACTATGGAGGACAAAAACACTTGCCTCACGTTTTCCTTCACTAAATCATCAAGCCAGTAGAAATAAGCACACAGCTCAGTGCCAACTGAGCAAATTAATCTCAGCAGCTCAATGTCGGCCTCGACACTTACTTTGAAAGTAGAACTGAATACTTGGTAGATCCAAGTATTAGTAAGAGCACAAACTTTATGTATGAAAATACAAGTCTGAAATGTGTGCACTCGGTTGGAGAATCAAAATAGACTTAATAACATATTCAATCTTAAACGTAAGGATTAGAGTCAATCTTACACACAAGATGATTTCATCTTACTCAACACTTTCAACGATCAACAGCTACATTCTTCAAAGAGCAACTTACGTACACGCAGTTTATTCTGAGCCGCCCCCTTCACAAATCTTTTAAATGCAAGCGCCACTCACCCTATATGTCCAGTGAACGTTGTGTTTTTCGGGGGGCCGCAGTGTCTCACAAAACATAACAGATTTTTCATAGGTTTGTGTACATGTAATTTACTAACTGCAAAATGTGGATTAAGTGTAAATTACCTTTTGTGCTGAAGGAAAAAACAAAACAAAACATGAAAAAACTAAAATTCTTCTGAATGTTTTCCCCACATTGCTGGCAATAGTGCCATTGGTATTTTTTATATTCAATGTTATTATATTAAATAAAGAACACATATTCTATTAAAATAAATGTGCTACACACAGAAATGTAATTATTCTTCATTAATAAAAAAGATAGAAAAAACATGTAATGTCATTATTATATAGTGAAACGTTTTAAGAAAAGAAACAAAGGATGCAGCCATTTAAGATCCACAATTAGGGATTCTTAAGATGACAAAACCAGACTTGTATATATGTGTGAGGAGTGCATAATCACAATGAACTACTTTCTGTCTCTTCACCACTATCATGTATTTTATAGGGGGATTTGGGGAATATTAGGGGGAAAAACAATCATAAATAGATTTTGAAAGGGAGCAGACGAGTGTAAAAAATAAAAAAAAAGGCTAATTTGTGGATATAGTATAACTCCGGACTTCTTTCACTTCAGGGAATAAAGTAGCACCGCAAATCACAATAAATTCAAAGGCAAACTTACATTTTATACCAGATAAATTCGAAAAATAATTGTTCAAATATGCCATTAATTATTTTCTGAAGAAACAGTATGAAGAAAACTGTTTTTTTTTTATCAGAACCACTGAAGCTCATACATTTATGCATTTAATGTGGTCTGAAACCGGTATAGTGAATATTTACTGTGTGAACTACTAAAACATTGGGTATAATTAAACTTTGACTTCCAGTGTTGCTGTGCTGGGGACGCTCCAATAAACTCATCGCTAAATAATCATTATCAGGAATGCACAAAAAACAAACAAATAAATTACATGTTAGGTAAGAGCTCACTCTATCCAAACAAACCTTGAATATTGTAAGATGTCACCAGGATAAACTACGCCTTTCACAATAGTGCTTTTAAAGAGACTGCATAATGACATTACCAGAATAACCTGTTGCCAAATGCAAATCAAAGGCTTTACCAAGGAACCCAAGAACAAACAAGTGGACCAAGATTAAGCCCAAGAGGCAGTGAGAGGGAATTCTGAACACTAATCAGCAGCAATGTCACAACAATGCTACAATGTGCATTGTATCTATGTTGAGGATGAAGTCCAGATGCCCTTAATCCTGAGCCAATCACTGCTGGGAAGGGGGAGTGGAGTGGGGTGATCAGTTGAAGCTGAGGACATTTAAGAAAGGTTGATGTTAGGCTTCCCCACTTTATCTGATGTAAGGTAGGTCACCTCTTAGCATCTTCTCATTTTTACACCACAAAAAGGAAAAACAAGTTGACTCGGCCGGGATCAGAAGATGTCAGCGCACATGTCCCAGGAGCCCTGTTCCTTCGCCTCCCAGTAACCGCCCTTGTAGACGTGCAAGGTCTCTCCGGACGCGGAGTCGTCCAACTTCTCGAACCACAGGGCTTGGTAGTTGTCTTGATGGGCGCCTAAAAGGAAAAGAAAGAAAATCTTTTACCGAGGAGAACCTTTAGAGGGACCTGAGGTGAGGGTTAAGAAGCCACTGAGCCATGACAACACATCGTGCTTCAATTAAGATTAGATATGCTCTCAGATGGTTGAAATACAGATAATTTAATGTTTCCGATCGCTTCGACTTCAGATGCACCTTATTCAAAGCAAAAACAAAACAATGGAGGGGAATTATAGACTCCCCATGTGCCATGTGACATGTGGAGGGAATCAGGCTCAAAACTAAAGCCCCGGGGCGCCCTGTGGCTCGCCTAGTGGAGCCGGCACCCTGTTTGCCGGGGATGGGTTCTTGCTGCAGTGGGCATGAGCCCAACTCCAACATGTGGCTGTTTGCTGCTTATCATCCCCTCTTTCTCTCCCCCTTTCCTGTCTATCTCAAGCTGTCGCAAAAGCCACCCCCCCATAAAAAACAACAACTAATGCCCCAACATTCTTCTCTGGGACTCAATTGAATCAATGACAGACAAAATGCTACTCTAAAACATTCAATACTAGGTTTGTGCCATTCTACAGTCAGCTACAGTCAGCTAGAGTCTTCTATAAGGTTCCCTAAAGTCTACACAGACAAATCTAAATAAAATGAATAAATAAATAAATAAAACGGGGGACAAGGGAGAGCAACACTGATGTTACTTGCTTTTGACTTGAGCTCCATAAGGACCTTCCTTGCCTTCCACTAAGAGAACAAATTGCAAAGGATGTAAAGAGGAAATGATGGAAGATGAGTGGAGGGGTTCTCAGTCTACATTAAATTAAACTACAATTTAATAAAATAATTGCACTGTATGTCATGATCAGAATACTTGCTTAGATAAGGGTTTGGCGATGGTCCATAAGGGGCTGAAAATAGAAGAATTAAGGATGAATCTCTTGAGAGTTAAAAACATAAAAGATTGGGTATGATCTGAAGACGAAAATGTAAGGAGCTACTTGCATGCAACAGGTGTATGAGGGGGAGAGTCCTCTGTGTCAGCTGAACACCAGCACAAAAAAAGATGTGAATCCACAACTCAAACAGCATCCAAAATCCACACAAATTTATCGTTTATGTTTATTTTAAAAGTGCTGTGTGTAGCATTTTAAGCAAAATAGGCATGTCAAAAATAAGGTGAGGAAATATACTAACTGTAAACAATAAGTAATAGAGGAGACAATTTTTGACTTCTATCTCATCCAGAGCATCACTTCCCATCATAAAGAAGATCTCTGCTCCCTAAGTTCATTATTGTCTGCAATAAACAGTCCAATTCCCATTTGTGCTGTAAAGCAACATAAACTACCAGGTGATTTTAAACGTTATGTGACTTGGTGGCGATAGTACAGGCTAATATAAACTACGAATCTCAGTGCTGGTGAATTATACTTAATGATAATTGAGCAATTTATGACCTCCATCAATCTGTCACGTGTAGCTCTGTGTTTTATTTCTCCATAAAGATCAGTACTTGTTTAAGTAACAGTGAAGTCACTATTGAGAAACACATCTATCGACTTCCCATGGATATACAGTATACGGGTAATTTCTTCCTCGCTACTCTGTTAAAATGCTACACAAAGCACTTTTAAAAGTTTACATATTATATAAAGCTGTGAAGTGATACTTGCTTTCATCAGAAACCTCATTTGCTTCTGTGCCAGTCTCCACTGCATCAGCTAAACGGGACAGAAATGGATGAGGGGATGGTAAAAAGGTGAATGAAGTGTTTGCAAGATGGCGAGAATAGAAGACATTTAGCACCTTCCTTTTACACACACAAACATATTGTACATGTGTTTTTGTATTAGAGTTAATTTATGGTATAGATCAAAGGTTGGAAAAGACTAGGAGAAGAGTACTTGCTTTTCAAGGGTGAATCATTGATTGAATCCTCAGTGACAGCTTAGGGATGAGACAGAAACAAGCAGACAAGGGATTCCAAGACAGACAAAGTGGACAAAAAGATGAATGGACAGAAAAAAAGACATTTGACGGAAACACGAGACATATAGGTTAACTCTAATAAACCTAATGTTCTTCTTTCTTTTTTACCTTCCTCAGGTGGGCTGACTGCTTTAACAGCCTCCCTCTCCCTCTCTCGACGGGTGGTGCGCTGTTTCTCTTCCAGCCTCTGTTTCTCTGCGTTAGCCTCATCCCAGCGGCCGTCCTCCATTAACCGCTGGTCAGGGCGTTTTCGACTGTCAGTAGGTGCCACTCCTTCTTCAGGTTCGTTGAGCGTCAAGGCCAGAGAGGAGAAGTAGTACATGTTCTCTGCTCCCTCTCTGTAAAAAGTCATCACCGTAAAGGATCAAAGCTAAAACAATTAACAAGGTGTAGACACTTCCCTAACACTACAGCTCCATTTGCGTAAAAGTACTTTTCTATACGACCTTTAAAACAGAAACTTACGGTAAAGGGTTCTTTTTCCAGATTTCTTTGGCTTTGAGGGTCTGATAGACAGTCCTCTGTTTGCCTTCAGTGCCATTCTCGCCTTTACTGCTCTGCATTACCCTCGAAAACTCCATCTTCTCATCCCAGGTTCCAGATAGCACGTAATGAGCCTTCCCATCCTTATCTGTTACTACTCCTGTCACCTGAGAGACAAACACAGCTTAGAGCACATTCAACTTACACCCTTAGTGGCCTCCTTATTAGGTACAGTTGTACAATCCAATGCAATTAAACACAACAGCTTTCACATGTCAGATTCACAGATTCTTAAATCTACAGATTTTTATACGACCGTATCGTCTGACTTTGTACTATACATCTTCCTGTAAAGAAAAATAGGAAAAAAAAGACCCACCTTTCTTGGTACATCTCTGGAGAAGTAACTGTAGGGCGCAAACTTGAGATGGCAGCGATCTCCTGTCTTGTGGTTCACCACATCTATCTCCCCTGACTGGAAGAAAACAAAGGAAGGTGACTAAATGTTTTGCTGTTCAAGACTTAGAGGATAAACCTAGTAGAAAGATAAGTGACACATTCTTGAACAACATATATGTCATTTATTTATCCCTGGGTAGTTAGTAGTGGTGTGGAGGTTTTGGCAGCTTTAAATTTACCTGGTCAATCCATAATTTTCCAACAATGATGTTGTGTACTGTTGTGGTCACTTTCTTCCAAGAGTAGTGATTGTTGCTCTTTTCAAATAAACACTGGATAGAACCTGGGGATAGAGGGGGAATAATATCAGAGCTGGTACTGATAAATTCTTATTCCACTGCTATGGTATCAGGGTTCCCACTCATTTCAACAAATTGTTTTCCAGGACCTTTCCAAGACATTTTCCAGGAGTTTTTCTTGACAATACAGGACAGCACTTGCTTACAGTCACAAAAGATGCAGTTTCCGGCAAACTGACTATATTAATTTGGCCACAGCCCATAAATAACAGTTCAAATTAAGTTTAATTTATTTTACAGTAAATGTATCTTTTAGAAAGTGAATGTGTTTATTGCGTGCACAATTAACATTGCTGTGCGTGTATTTATCAACCACAGCAACAAGAAATTTGATATTTGGTCTGAACACACTCACCCAAAGGCATGATAGAGAGATATTTTCCTCTAAACTTGCTGGCCAAGGTAATTTCTTGTCTGAGGGTCCAGCCCTTTTCAGAGATGGCATGGTGAGCTGCAGCAGGTGGGTGGTGACTCACCTGAGAAGAGGTGAGTGAAGAGAAGAGAGAGAGAAGATAGCAAAGTCAAATACACGTCAGCATTAACACACTTTAAGCGTGTTTATTTTTAGAACTGCAATTAGGTCAAACATAAATGTCACACGAAATTTCAGTCTGAACAGAAACGACTACAATCTGCAAAAGTCCCTTGTTACGTGTTGTTATGCTTCCTTTACACAGCTGGTTTCAATTGTAAACATTTCCCAGTGTGTATTCCACATACCTGTTCACAGAGGGAGCGGTAGCCACACTCTTTTAGCCGATCAAGCTCAAAGGTTTCTCCCAGCAGAGGATTGAAAGGTTTTCCTGTACGGTGGACAGTGGTGGAGTAGGAAGAGACAGTGAAAGCGGCCACGTAACACATCTGCTCTAGGGAGCTCTGACATTTAGCAGCCTTATCCAGCAGTTCGTAGTACTCCAGGTCTTCAGATAGACGTTGCAGCATTGACAGGGGTTCATTGAAATTCACCTACAAAGACACAAAAAAGAAGAAGTCCAATTACCTCTGATTACTCTCACATGGAAAAAGCCACTTGGATACCAACAAGAGTGAAGGTTTCTTACAGGCATTGGTATTTTTGAGAGCTCCTTTCCAATACAATTCTTCATGATGCTCCACAGATTGAGGTAATAGTTGGGCTTGTCAGGGATACGAGTCCGTCTTTGTCGAACTGGCTCCAGCTCAAGAGACTGTGGAGACTCTGGATTGGATGCCAAAGACAGTTCATCAAACTGAAAGAAAAGAAGGAAAACGGCCGTAAGGGTCAGGTGACTGTGGTGTCAAGCAGACGAGAAGACAAGTCAATACAAATCTTGCTTGCAAAAACAAAGTTAACTCACATTTACCGACTGATCATCCATTCCAGTCTCGTTGCTGATCCCACTAACGTTGCTGCCAGATCTCCTAGTGGACAGACAAACAAGAAAGCATAACACTAAAACAAAACAGTAGAAAAGGAGAGAAAACAACAACAAAAAACCAACAAAAAAAAAAGATTGAGATTAAAAATAAAATCACTGATATTTTTTTTAGAAAAGGTTAATAACCTGTGATACTTGGGGTCAGCAGGGACAGTGATAAACTCTGCTGGGTCTTCCATAGCATCAAAGAACTCATTGTCATCATCCTCGTCACTGGCATCACCTTTTCCTGGCACACCGCCTAATGTGAAGAAAGACAGTTCTGATTGGTGCAGCCATGCTTTGAGTAAGCTCAAGGGTCCTGAGAGAGAAGTTCAGGAAGTGATGGGAAGCCTTACCTTTGTTACCTAAGGCAGGGTTGCTGAATGATGGGGGGAGAACTGTGGCTCCTCTGAAAGCTCTTTCCAAATGGTTGTGCTGCTTGGCGAGCTGCTCCAGAGTCTCCTCCAGTCGTATCCTCTGGTCTCTTTCAACCTGTAAGGCCTTCTGCCAGCGCTTACTGTGGCTCTGGGCCAGGGAGAGGAAGTCTCTACATGCCTTGGGAAATATGCCAAAACAAGAGCAACATTCAGCAAAACAGTGAACAACAATGTGCCTTCCTCAGCAATTAATTAATTGGGTGTCTTACATTGATCATGGCATTAGAGGTGATTCTGAACAGCGTGGCTCTCTCTGTCACTTGTCTGATCTTTTCCCCCATTTCCCCTCCGACACGAATCCCCTCCAGCTCTGACAAAGACCTGTGTGCGGAATAAAGGAATTCATTGAAGAAGGAACAAATAAACAGGCAAAGAAAATAAATAAATTACCCCTTATTTTCTTTGGATAATATATCTTTTTCCTGATGAAATAAAACCACTCAGTCTGAAAACCGATACCTTTGGAGGGCAGACCCATGCTTGACAATGAGATCGTTGCAGGTGGTGAGGTCCTCCACCTTGCTGTTTAGTGTGCGTAGTGTGGACTGGACTTCTGAGTTACGGCAGCCTCCACCCTGTCCTGAGGTGGGGGGCACCGCAGGGCAATCGTCACCCGAGTCATCTGAGTGAGAGAACAAAGGAGATAATATGACAAAACGCCTTACACAGAAACTTATTCTTGCATTCTCCAACTAATTTGTTTTTCCTCTCACCAGATTCGGCCTGCATGCGGACAGCCTTCGCCTTGGCGAGCTCCAGGGCAGTGATCCACCGCTGGCGCTCTACTTCTGAGTTGGCCTTCAAGTGGTAGGTCTGCGCCCCTCCGTTGGAAATTACAAAATTGCACGAGTCCTCCACAGCGATATTAGCTGTGGCCAAGTTGATGGTGCCTCGGCATGTATGACCCATCTCTGCCTGGGTCCTGGAGACAAACACAATGAACTGTTTTGTGATGTAAGAAATATTTTTTGGGGTAAAGCAACTGTATATTTTCTTAAAACGGTGAATACAGAGTGCTATTTTAGTACTAATTTAAATGTACTTCTAATTAAATATCCTTTTCAAAGCAAAAATCTAAACTACTAAGTTACTGCCTACATCAATCCTTCGACACACATAATCAAATTTAGCATCACCCCTTTGTCTGCCATGCCCCCTCCCTTAGGTACCACCTTGACTTCCATATAAATGTAAGTTACCTATAGTAAGACAGCAGCCCATTGCTCAGAACAAACCAGCGTCTCTGGTAACCTTTGATGTAGTTAGTCCATTTGAAGAGCCAACCCTTGTATGTGTCTCCGGGGGTCGGAGTCGGGGGCTTAGGCTCCGACATCACTACAGCCTGTGGTTTCACTGGGTGAAGTTAGAGCCTGTGGGGGGGAAACAACCTAATCAAGACTGACACTGATATTTCACTGGTCTCATGGTTGCACTGAGTAAATTGGCTTGTTAATGTCAATATAAATATATATTTTTGTCATTTTGTGCTATGACATAAATTTACCATATAAAAAGGCATAATGTTGTGTTTGTTTCCGGTTCTTGAAATTGAAAGAAAAATGTTAATATCAACAAATACTGATATATATATATAAATATATACTACAACTATATACTAAACCATCCAGTAAACACCGAGCTTTTTGTGAACATTCACTTTTAAATTGAAAACCCGACACACAGCTAAATACTAACCTCCTTGTTGTTGGCTGTTGCCTTTACGTTACGCAGTTAAATGAACGACTGCTGACTCGTCCACATTTTATTTTAACGTTACAATCAATGAACGACAGCTGGGTAACGTTAAGAGCCAGCGAAGACCCTGAAAAAAAAAAAAAAATAAAACCTCGGATTTAAGCGCAGAGCTTCTCCATAACGTCGCTATGACAGCTTTAACGTTAGACTCTGCACATTAACTAACTCACAACGCAACAACAAGAGGACGAGTCCCGACGTGACTCCTACAACTCGTCTGTTGAGCTAACCTTTAACTAACATCATCGCACTGTACGCAAAAACATCGACAACAGACAGCTCGATCATCTTAACCCACCAGCGCCAGGATGACAGACGAGTGTCAAGTAAACACAGCCTGGGGTATTTGTGAGGTTACTTCCAGGAACAAGAAGCCAATTCCAAACATCAAAGCTACTTAAAACAGTGTCCGTCACTAAGCTCGCTGCTAGCTAGGCAACAGGAAACTGTCAAACAGCCCGGACACGTCATGGATGCTAACAATTATTTATTTAAACTGAGCTGCTCTCGGTTTTCTGGGTCCGGTGTTTTTAACTTTTCGGTGACAATAAGACACTGGTCGTGTTTACCGCTTACCGTGCAAGACTTTTTAGCTGTTAATGATGTGCATGTCGCGGTGGATGAGGCGGTGTCGGCTCGCTACTGTTAGCTTTTGCTATCTACTTTCATGGATGTAGAACGACTACGTTGCTACAGGTTGTGCAACGAATAAAAGCGTCCGTTGGGCCGCTGGACGAGCCAACGTTAGTTCCGCTGAGGACAGGTGACGTTGAACGTACTGTAACTGAAGTGCGGGCCATTTTTATTTTATATTTATATAATTATTTATTTATTTAATTATGACGGAATTAATTTAAATCATTTTCTATTAAATTGAAGGACACTCTTATCTCCCACCTCGTCATGTCAATTTTATTTTAATGTATGTAATGTATGTTTTGTATGCTACTGGATACTATTTCCCTCGGGATAAATAAAATATCTATCTATCTATCTATCTATCTATCTATCTATCTTGTGCACTATGACCAACCATTACTAAGTTGTATAAAAAATAAAATCATGTCTAAAGTATTTATGAAAAATATATTTTTAATGTCGGGTTATAATCTGATTTCAGTTGTCAGTTAACCAATTTCAAAGGACAGCAATTATATATTATTGAATTTAATATGTAAAGCATGACTATTGGCTCACTTCCTGTAAAGTATTATCTTACACATTGTGCATTAATATTTAATATTTATAGTTAGGATGAAACTATAGAAGTGGAAACATTAATATGGGTTTTAAAAGGCATTTTCAGTGTTTTAATTTTGCATTATTTTATTCACTATAATTCTAGATCTGCTGCCAACCACATTAAAGCTGAACCTCAATGCATTTCAAACTTCTTGGATAAATACTTCTTCTCCTTGTTCATCACTACTGGACCGGTTCCTAACCTCATGCCCCAACATATGCAATAGTTGTCATGAAACTAAAACAAGACAATCAAACTTGACACTACTCTTTCATCAAGAAATCTAGAGTCTCATTAAAACAATATTCTCCCTCTGACGATTGCTCCTCACCGTGTAAATTAGCAACACAGAAAATGAAAAGACATTTCTCTCATTGGTATTGACTTTATTCAACAATTCTTTACTACAACAATGCAGCTTGTAGGAATTAGGCATTGATTTGAAGCAGTTACTTTACTTAAAACATCCTGTGTATATCTGTGTGTGTGTGTGTGTGTGTGTGTGTGTGTTTGTGTTAAAGGTAATTCACTCTTCCCCCCCAAAACTTATTTGGTAATGGTGTTTGCATTCATACTTTTCCCACTCCCACTAAGCACAATATATGGTGTCTTCTGAGATTTCTGCTTCTCTTGAAGCAAAGCCACCGTCCCTAGAGGAGTATCACTGCTGCTCATCTTCTTCAGCAGTGCCTCTTCCTCCAGCTTTTTCATCCTCCTCTCAGTCTTCATCTTTCCAGACCCTTTCCCATGGAATCGATGTGAAAGCTGCCTGAAGGCTTCTTTTGGAGTGAGTTTCCGTCCAGATTCGTCCACATACTCAATCTTGACGTCGGGCTTATAGCTATCCTTCTCCTTGAAGTCTTGAGTGAAGCCTCTGTATTCTTCTCTGCGGCTGTACTTGTCATCAAAGCCCATCTTGTCCTCAATGCAGTAGTTGTCATTTGGCAAGGCGCCTTTTGGTGCTCTGACACGGGCTACCTTCTGCATTTGAGTGTCCAATAGACCTTTGTTTTTGCACAGCAGCAAGGCATTAGCTAGGCCGGAGTTGACAATGGGCTCCTCATCCAAAATGGTGGCAGAGGCTGTGGAGAAATCTGGTTGTTTCTGTTCTTCATCCAAGTTGACTGTGCTCCATCCGACATTCTCATCCATTTCTGAGTCGGAATCTCCAGCATCCTCTTTCTCTTCTTCCTGTTCAAAGTCCATAATGTCCTCTTGGTCCTCTCTGTTGCCTGACAGGCCATACGTTGGAATATCACCCAGAGTTCGGCAAAACTCTGAGGTGGCATTGAAAACAATGTTGTTCCTCTTCTCTGGATCATTTTCAGGGTCGTCTTTAGCGAGCACTTTAATCTGCTGTGCCACCTTCTCCCCAGAGTCTTTGAGAAGCTGCTTTTGCTTCAGCTTCCTCTGCTTCTCCAGTTGTTTCTGCAGCTCCTGCTCCGCCTCATCCTCCTCCAGTACAGCTGGCTCAGGAGGCGTGAAGTCGTCCTCGTCGCTTATTTCCATTTCTGCCATTCTGATGTCATCAGACATTTGGGGGATGTCCTGTGGCAACCTGCTCTCTTCCTGCTCCTCTTCCTCCTCCTTTATTTCCACGACATCTTCATCCGCCTGCTTGCGGCCTCGACCGCGTGTCCTGGAGCCAAAATCAGTGCTGCGAGTGTCATCGAGTTGAAGTTCATCTGCAGCTGTCTGCTTCTCCCTCTTCCTGATCTTCTTCACACGGCGTTTTGTCTTTTTAAAGCCCACCATTTCCTGAGGTGTGTAATACTCAGAGGCAATAGTGAGAGAAGGCATTTCCAATGACTGGGCTTGATTGCGTAGAGCCTCTCTCATGGCCTGAATCTCCCGCTCTCGCTCCCCATCGGCAAAGCCCCCTGTATTCAACCGGAAACTCTTTTTCTTTTCACCCTCAATTTCCTCATCGTACTTTGACAGAACAGAGTGGGTCTTAAACGTAACCATGTCATCCACACTTTCCTCCTCTTCGTAGGGCTTGTAATCTGGCTTTTTCTTTTTTAACTCCACATTCTTTTCTGCTTTTTCCTTGTCCACCAGTCCCACATTGACAAGCACATCTTCCTCCTCTTCAAGTACACCTTTGTCTTGAAGGGTCAGGATGACTGTCTGGCCCTCGTTGAAGGAATCCACCTTGTGCTGCACTTTGAGTCCCTTTAGATCTTGAGACGTGTAGGCATCCTTTTTACTTTGTGCAAACTCTTCCTCTACCAGACTGCTGACGCCAAACTCCTCATCCATCTCTTCCAGAAGTTTTGCTCTTTTCTCTGCCATTTCTTTTTCTTTTGCCAGATTTCTGCTTTTCTCAACCCAAGCGGATGTGTCATCCAGCCAGTCATCATCTGCTAGGGTCTTGACTTTACCCAGTTTCTGGTTCTGGATCCGTTTTTCTTTCATAGCTGCAAGCTTCTCTCTCATCTCTTTCTGCTGCTTGATGAGGACAGGGTTGATGGTTTCAGCCACCAGTGGCTCCTCCTTGGTCCCGAGCTCCTTCTTGTTCTCATTTAATTCCAGGGGCTTCAGACCCAGCTTGGCTCTGAGTTTGTTTGTCTCCTCAATGCTGAGAGATGCGTCTCCGCTTGCAGACTGAGGCGCAGGTTCTGCATTGCTTTCATCATATCCAAGATCAACTTTTTCCTTCTTCACTCGTGGCTCCCCGCTGCCTCGTTCACCTTTGCTGCGGCTCTCCCGTCCCTCCCGTCCGCTTCTTTCTCTGGACCTGGAGCGTTTTCGTTTCTCTTTATCCCGAGTCCCATCCCGGTCGGAGGCGTCTCTCTCTCGGTCCTTGTGGCGATGTTTCTTATGTTCACGACGGCGCTCTTCGGTGTCCTTGTCGCGACTCTTCTCCTTATGTTTCTTAGACGATCCCATTATCCCCTCTGTAGGTTACAACAGTTAAAATTAAATTAATAACACTATCTTGCAGCGTGTCGATAATGGCAGCAAAAAAATGTTGCTAGTCTTCCTCCGCTAACTAGCTCACGTTAGCTTTGAAGGCTAAGTGGCTAAACGACGACACAACTCACTCAGTCCGGATGTAAAAATGAAACCTTCTTATCGAAATCCGATATTAATCGACGAAGAATTGCGATGTGGGAAAAAAAATATTTAGCTGTGTGGTTTCTTCACGCCAGTTTAGACACCCATACTCTACGTTAAGATCCACAACTTCGTCAAACGAACGGCGAAAGACAACACTACCGCTTCCCGTGGTCGAAGATCAGTTACCGGGCTAGAAGCTGCTGTATACCGCCCCCTGTTGTACGGGAGTGTTTAAATCAGGCCAGGATCACATCCTTGAGTTGCTGCGTTTTGAGACAGATAAGACGTTATTGTTTATCAAATGACTTTTACCAGACACATTAGATAATTTGTAAAAACCTCCACCGTTACTGTGATATATGAAGTGCCCGGCAACGACGCTTCCTCCACGTTCACTCTGAATGGTAACAGCAACGATGCCGCTTATCTTAAAATTGCAAGCTAACTTAGCAAGCGCAGTTTTTTTTTTAAAATAACACGACTAAAAGCCAGTATTTTTACACTGCTGCGTTTGTGGTTCGCTAATCTTAATGTTGGTCAGTCCCGACCGCTTGTAAACCGTAGCTTAGTGCGATAACTAACCCCAATATGTGCGCTTGAAGTGTGGCTTTGCTACCGTCAACGCAAGCTCGGATGCTTGTTTGCTTCAACTTTTACCGAGGCATTTAAAGTTAGCTCCGCGGTGAGCAGCTGTTAGCGAGCTAGGTAGCATTGGTGAGCTGCCGCGGCAAGCTTGGCAACTTTGGCGACTCGTTTTATTTATTTTTGTTGTGATTATTTGTTTTCGATCGACAGCATATAAACGCTAACGTTGAATGCTGTGGTGTTTGATCGACACACGGTTGGGAGTCATGTTAACCAGCGGGTTAGTTAGGTGCAGATCGGGTTGCCATGGCGATTGTGGAACGGAACTAGGTCACCAGTGTTAAGCTGGTAAAGTTGACAGAAAAACGGGC